TCTTAAATTGTTAAATTATGTTATTCTGAAAATGTAAGTTGTTTTGTCACTGATATCAACAGCAATATCAGAAATATTAGTTACTTTCTTAAGTCTTGGTTTATTATTTGCTCAAATATTTGTTCTTACCAAAATGTTAGTAATGAGCTTTTAAAGTAATGTGATTAGAATATGCTTCATTACTTTTTAAAATTCCTACTTTGACACTTTGGATGCTGTGATTTGATTTGAGAAACTTCCTCTAGCACATTTTATTTTCAAACTCAATTTAGTAGCAGTAATAGCACACAAAGATTTGAATGAAAGAAGCACATCATTTGTTGCACTTATTAAATTATAACATAACAGTCCCATCCTCAGTTATGCAGTGGCTTTTGTAGAAACTAGGCTTATACATTTTTATTTTTTCTTATTCAGTTGTTTCTGAAAACAACTTGGAAGGACACTGAGTTGTGTACGGGTGTAGAAATTGATGCAAATTTCTTGGAATTTTTTTTTTTTTGCCACATGCATTAAAATCCAAAAACAGTTATATCCTTTTACACTGCAATTACATTCCTATGTATTTAGGCTAAGGAAATAGAGGGATACATTCACCAATGGTCACATGAGGATGTTTGTGATCCTTTCTACTACTGAAAAAGTGGGAATAACTTGAATATTCAATAATTGGGGATGCGTTAGTAATGTCCTCTACACAATAAAATTATATGGAACTGTTAAAATTATATATAATATTAACATTAATGGCTGTATTTATTAAATATTTAGTTTGTAACGCTTACTGCACTCATATACATTTCAAAATTTAATCCTCGAGAGATCCAAGATGGCCATGGACTGAGTGGAAGCTACACTGACATACTTCTGGGACCAATCTGGATTTACAACTAAAACATAGAAAAATCACCCTGAAAACCAACTGAAGACAAGCCGGAGAGCACCCTCATAACGAAGGAGGAAAAGTGGAGCCCACATAGAGACTGGTAAGAAGTGCAGAGGCGCGAGAGAGCTGGCTGGGCCCACACAGGCAGCAGCTGAAGGTTTGGAGGGATAGCTCAGCTGGGGGGGGGAGGGTTTCCACTGAGTACTCTGGGGCTAAAGCCCAGGCTGGGCTTCCCAGCCAAGAGTTCCAGAACTGAGAAAGGTGCCCACATAACATCTGGCTGTGAAAGGGTTTCTCTCTGCCAGGGAGAGATGGCTGGAAATGCAGGCACCCTCTTAGAGAGCCAACGCACAACGTGCTGTGTGCAGTCACTCACCTTGCGCTTCGGCGGAGGGGAAGTGGAGTGGACTGGAGCTGTGTGGGGAGAGTCTGGGGAGAGTCATTCCCCCAGACTGTGGGGGGATATCTTTCTTGGGAGGTGAATTTTCGGTTTTTGCCTGAGGGGGGGGGAAGCAATTGCCCCACCCTGCTGAAAAGCCTCTTGCCCTGCCCAGAGGAGTTTCTACAGCCTGAGGCTCATTAAGAGAATCAGATTAATCAGTCTGCAGGCAGAGGCAGACCTCAGGGTGCCTTGAGTCTTTGCCTGATCTGCTTGGGACCTGGGTGGGCCTTAGAAAAGCAGACTTTGGTATGCATCTTTGTCCTATCCAAACGCACCCAGCCCCATCAGTGGAGGCCTCAAGCCCAGGGTTGTTGATAGCTCCAAACAGGATACTCAGGACCAGTCACAAACTGCGTCTAACATTGGCCTGTACCAGAGACCCTCCAAAAAGACTGAGAGTCCTAGCAGATCTACGTAACACTTAAAAACAAACCCAAAAATGTAGCCAAAATGGGGAGACTAAAAAACAAGCCCCAAATGAAAGAACAAGAGAAGTCTCCAGAAAAAGAGCTAAATGAAATGGAGCTAAGCAATCTCTCAGATACAGAGTTCAGAATACTGATTGTAAGTATGCTCAACAGCATGAAAAAAAATAGGGAAACTATGAAAAAGGACCAGTCAGAAATGAAGAATGACAATAGCAGAAATAAAGAATACATTGGAAAGAATAAAAAGCAGATAAGAGGAAGCTGAGAATCGGATCAGTGAATTAGAAGACAGGGTAGAAAAAAAATCACTCAATCAGAGACTCAAAATGAAAAAACAATTAAAAAACAGGAGGACAGTTTAAGGGAGCTGTGGGACAGCATGAAAACATAACGATATTCATATTATAGGAGTGCCAGAGGAGGTCGAAAGTAAGCAGGGGTTAGAGAACCTATTTGATGAAATAAGGGCAGAAAACTTCCCTAACCTGGTCAAGGAAAAAGTCCCACAAGTTCAGGAGGCATAGAAAGTCCCAAGCAAGAAGAATCCAAAGACGCCCATGCCCAGACACATCATAATTAAAATGCCAAGAATCCAAGACAAAGAGAATCTTAAAGGCAGCTAGAGAAAAGCAATCTGTTACCTACAAAGGAGCTCCCATAAGGCTGTCGGTGGACTTCTTATCTGAACTCTACAGGCCAGAAGGGAATGGCATGAAGTATTCAAGGTAATGCAAAACAAGGATCTGAAACCAAGGCTACTCTATCCAGCAAGATTATCAATCAAGATAGATGGTGAAATAAAGACCTTCCCAGAAAAAAAAAGTCTAAAAGACTTTATTACTACAAAACCAGCATTATTGGAAATGTTAAAGGGACTGCTGTAATTAGAAGAGAAACATAGACATAAAGAGAATGAGAAACATAGGCATAAAGAAACAAAATGGCAGTAGGTAAGTATCTTTCAATAATAACCTTAAATGTAAATGGATTAAATGCCCCATAAAAAGATATAGGGTGGCTGAATGGATAAGAAAACAGGACCCAAATATATGCTGTCTACAAGAGACCCACCTTAGAACAAAAGACTCACACAGGATGAGAGTGAAGGTATGGAAACAAATTTTCCATGCAAATGGAAATGAAAAAAAAGCTGGGGTAGCAATACTTATATCGGACAAAATAGACTTAAAAATGAAGACCATAACAAGAGACAAGAAAGGTCATTACATAATACTAAAGGAATCAATCCAACAAGAGGATATAACCCTGATAAACATATATGCATCCAATATAGGAGCACCTAAATTTATAAAAAAACTTCTAGGGGACTTTAAGGGAGAGATTGACAGCAATACAATCATACCAGGGGATTTTAACACCCCACTGACTTCACTGGATAGGTCTTCCAGACAAAAAATCAACAAGGAAACAGTTACCCTAAATGACACACTAGATCAGATGGATTTAATTGACATTTACAGAACATTCTACCCCAAAGCTGCAGAATATACATTCTTCTCAAGTGCACATAGGACGTTCTCAAAAATAGAAACAAAATAAACTGATGAACAAAGTGGATCCAGAGACACAAAAGCATGGAACAGACTGAAGGATCTCAGAGGGAAGGTGGGGATGGGGGAGTGGGTGGGGAGAGATTAATCAAAGAACTTATATGTTTATAAGCATAACCCATGGACACAGACATTGGTTTGTGGAAAGCTTGGGGGTGGGATGGATGTGGGGTGGAGGGGATCAATTCAATGGGGATAAAAAGGGGACATCTGTAATATTTTCAACAATAAAGATACAGAAACTTAAAAAAAAATTTAATCCTTGTACCAACCTAATGTCTTGGGGATGTTATAAAACACCTGAAAACCACATATCTAGTAAATGATTGAGATTGAATTGACTGTTTATAAGACTCAAGCCTATCAGATTTAATGGATATTTAATTATATAGAGAAATGCACATGATTTATTGCTGAGGGAAAGGATAGAAAGCACTATATCTAATATGACATTTAAACAAATTCTAAAATGGATAAGGAAAAAATCTGGAAGGACATTACCTAAGTGAAAATAGTTACTTCTGGGCAGCAGGACTACAGCTAATTTTCTTGTTTTATTATTAGGTTTTACAAATTTTTTGCAGTGAGCATGTGCTGATTTTTTAATTAGAAAAACAAGGTGCTTTTTCTCCCCTAATTTTTCCTCCCCCAAGATGTTAATTACAGCACTATTTATAACATAATTTGGAACAACATAAATATCCAAATGTTTAATGAAATATTGCTCACCAATTCAATGGAGTAATATAAAGTAAATGCTTTCTACTAGCACAGGCAACAAGATGGAATAATGTTCATTCAGTAATGTCCTGTGAAATTGGGCGAACATAAAATGTTCTTTACTCTAAAATTACTATGATTTACACCATGATATGATATAAATTCTGTATGAATATGGTAAAAGACTAGAATGTATAGAATAATAAAAATTACTGTGGTATTGGAGAGCCTAGGGAGTGGGACGAGTATTTTCTCTCATGTTCCAATGATGAATAATAATGTAAAAATAAAAAGAGCTCTGCAACTTGGTTAACAACAGATAAACAAAAGGGAAGACTTCTAAATGCAATGCTTGGTCTGTTTTGCTACTGTACAAAAGAAGTTTATTTCTCAGGAAGTAATGCAATTAGACAGGTACAGCTTGACTTCAAAGTATTAATTATCTTAATATTATTCAGCATCTTAAGAAAAAATATGGTTAATATGGTTACAGAGGCAGAACAGCCTCTGGTTTTCTTCCCTCCACATTTGCCAGAGCTATTCCTACAGATTGCTGCCATCCCAAATTAGAAAGCAATCTGAATAAAAAAGTTTCCAAACAGGTTATCTCTGCTGCTTTGACAAATGCTGACGTTCCATCCCTGAGGTCACAGCAAGTGACAGGATGTGCAAAGTGAATAGAATATGCTTCCCTAGCACTCTCTGGTTTGCTGAGTAAGATGGGCCATGCAGGCAGCCAGAGGCTTCAAGTCAAGCACTAACCCAGAGGGCATCGCAAAGGCAGAAATTTCTCTCCCACCTGGAATTGCATGTGCGATCTAGCCTCTGGGGTATTGAAACGAAAGGTGGCAGATTGTTGCGTTGTCTTTTAGACCCAAGTACAGAGGAAGCCAAATGTCAAGCTGCCTGTTTCTGCACCAAGTGATAAACCTGTCTCCTTCCCTTCCTTTTAGGCTGACTACTAGGCAAAGGTTGTACCAGCAGATAAAAATGCATTATTCCAGTTACTCCGTTGGGCGTCAGCGTACTGCACAATTTAGTGAGTTAAAAACCCCCACAATTTAGCATACTATTGATTTTTCATGAATTGTCACTGTATTGTGGGAGTACAGACTTCTTAAGCTGCTGTGACAGGTCAGGGATTGATTTTGATGATCCATGGAATCTCCTAGAGAAAGAAGGAAACCAATATGCTGCAGAAGCTGGTGTTGCTCTTTAAGGGGTGGGATTTACCTATCCCAGCTTCAAAGTTGAATTCTGATAATCTTAAATCAAGCTGGCCATCCTATTTTTTAGTCACAATACTTGGTTCAGAGATGAATACATAAACCAACCAAATGCGTTAAGATGTGAAGAGATATTTGCTAAGGTTTCTGGAAAAAATAAGCTTTCATTTTCCTCTACAACAGTTATTGGAAGATGCATGTGAGTCTCTTGGGTTTGTAACTATGGCATCTATTTGGCTAACGCTACAGGTGGTCTGGTGTACTGAGTGTGTGTGTGTGTGCGTGGGTGTGTGTGTATTGGTGGGGAGGATTGTTGGCTCTGTGTAGTGCCTATAGGTGAAACTGATCTTATGTATGTAAAAGACATTGTTGAGAAATAAAGACAAATTGGATTCTGGGCAGCAGTTGCTTTTTTTGGATGATCATTCTCTGCCTGAACTAAGGACTGGACTACTTCTGGTTATAGATTAACTTTATTAAGCTTGTTTGATTTTTGATCTCTTGTGAAATAAATACAGAATTCCAGGAATTATTTTATAACAGGAAGTTCAACCATATGTCCAAAGAGGTCATAATTAATTTTCTTAACAAGGTCAATCTGTTTGTTAGAGAATGGCCCTCAGTTAAATTATATATTTATCTTAACTCGCTATATTCTGGAGAGCAGTGTTGCAAGGAATAAATTCAGGGTCCAATTTCCAAGTGCTCCTGTGCCGTGGCACCAGCTGTTAAACCTTGGCTCTTATGTCCTCATATTTTATCATGATGTGAAAGGAGAGGAGTGGGGTCATTTAATTCAGATCAACAAACATCTACTGAATGCCTAATGAAGTGGACTTTTTGTATTCATTTTGACTTCCAAGAATTTAAATCCCCTTCCTGTGTTCAGAAATGTGTGAAAAAAAGTTTGGTATTTGCTTTCTCAGTCTTCCTTGCAGCTAGGGCACGGGCATGTGATGTAGGCTCTGCCAATCAATACTCCTGCCCCAGAACTTTAAGTCAGCATCTAGTGACATTACGAAGGAGGGCCTGTGCAGAAACCATTCTGTTGTGGGTGACAGAGGCAGCAACAGTGACCACATCTATCACCTAAATATCAGCATCGCTGTGGTTTTCAGGGCAGTCCCCTCTGTCAGTTTTGTCAGAGGTTCAAGATGTTGAGTTTATTGTCTAAATGATTTTCAGCCTTTTTCACCTCATGGCACACATAAACTAATTGCTAAAATTCTGCAGCATACCAAAAAAATACATTTTTTGCGATCTGACAAAAATATAGGCATAATTTTGATTGACTTACAAAAAAAGGAAAAGGTAACTACCTATCCTTTTTGCTCCAAAGTGACTCAAAAATCAGGGGCTTTCAAAAATCAGGAGCTTTTCCTTTGCTACTAGCCTCTGGGTGAGACTAAAAGTTTTATCATAGTTCACTGGATGATCATGCAACAAAAGCTACCCGTTAATGATATTGCAAGCTATAAAAGTTAGAGCATGCTCAGTAGGACTCCCTTCTGAGAGGGAGTGCAAATATGGACTTAGGTCTAAGCAGGTCTTGAAGGCACAGATAAGATACATGAATGGTTGATTCGCATGTAGTGTGCCTGCTTCTGTACACCCATAGATTTGGCCCCATAGGCAGGTTGACTGAAGTGACTCGGCCCAAGGTGCACTGGCAAGGCAATGCAGTCCCCTCAGTTGGCTGTGGTCTGCAGGACAGCAGGACGGAAATGTTCTTAGGAGGCAGAAACTGAAACTGTGTTGCCATGTTCTAGAAAGAGACATACCTGGAGGCATGGATCAATCCCAATTCATAGGATGTGGCAATTAGAGTGGCTGGATGGTCAGGAAGTTAAAAGACACATAATTGAAGAGAGGAATGGGGAGATTTGGAGAAGACTTATTTCATGGCCTGTCAAAACAGGCCCAGAGCATGAGAATGTTGTATCTCATGTGAATGCTAACCCAAAGGCCCTCCTTGCAGTGAATTCACTTGAATGGCAAAGGTAACAAAACATGATATCTAAATGGAAAATGAACAGAGGAAAATGTGCCCAATCTCATTAGCTAGCAGGAAAATGCAAATTAAAATTCCAGTGAAGTCCCACTGAATACCTAACAGAATGGTTAAAATTAAGAAGATTTAATATATTGTCAAAGTTCCAACTGTCACATGTTGGTAAGTACATGGACTCTCTAACCCTGCTAGTGGGAGTGCACATTATAAATTTACACTTTGGGAAACTGTTTGATAATATAACATATGCACATTCTTTGACTCAGTAATTCCATTCCTAGTTACAGACCCAATATACTTGCATTTTGTATATCAAAAGACACCCAAAAGACTACTTGTGGAAACTAAAAACAAATTTCATGAGAACTAAAATCTGGAAACAACCAAAATATCCATTAATTAGAATGGATAAATAAGTTGTTGGATATTCAGTTAACTGAATATTATATAGCAATAAAAATGAACAGAATAGTGCTACATTTAACAACATGGACAGATTTCACAAACATTATGCTGAACTAATAAGCTGGATCCATATATATATATGAATATATTGAAAAACAGGCAAAACTAACATGGTGATAGGATTCAAGATGAAATGGGTTTAGTGACTGGAGGGGAACTTCTGCGGTTGCTGGTAATGTTCTGTTTCTTGATCTGGTTGCAGTTACAGGTTATGCTTATTTTGAGTGTTTAATCAAACTGTATTCTTTGGTGCACTTTTCTGTGTGATGTTATATTCCATTAAAAATATTACACAATGTAGGATGGATATAATCACAAACTATGTATGATAGCATTTTAAATAGAAAAAAGCATTAATGACTACAATAGATTGAAAAATATAAATACATAAAATTCTTGAGTTCATAATGATAAAACAAAGCCCATGATTATTACTAGGGCACCAGCAGACTTTTTATGATTTGGACTACATGAGCCAGGCTTTCTATCACTTGAGACTGTGATAGTCCCGCTATGTGATAGGATCAGGTTAGGTTCAGGAGGTTCACAATGAATGAAGTATGCAAACTTATAAAGTTAGCTGAGCTGAGCAGCCTGCATGAGACCTAGTTTTGGGCATCTAGATTTCTTGAAGGCTATACTTTTTGGCTGGCTACTTGACCTCTTTTATCTCTTCATCTAAGATTGCTGGACAGTTACCCTTTTCTAATCTAATTAAAGCCAGAGAAGTTTGTCATTCACTGGACATGTGAAATGCCTTGTCACCTTTGAATAACCAACTGTAGACATTCAGTTTTAGGAATTCCAGAAGCCACTCATCACTAGTAGAGGTGAAGGGCTTCCAGGGCAGTAGGTCAGTTAGCACTGGGGTTGTCTGTGGCAGGCAGAGTGGATGCCACTCACCTTTAGCCTATTGTTGTAACTCCTAGAAAACGATAGAAAGAAAGCAATATAAGCACAAGGTTTGAACAAATGTGAAAATTCTTGAGATGATTCATGTCTAGGAGATTTTCCAGGAGGTTGATAGCTACTTACCTACTAATCTGTATTTCATTTGTTTTTCAAAGGTAGAAGCTTATTTAATTTCATTAGTCTCTTCAGATGCCCTGCCCCAACAATTTAAAACTCTACCATTTACATAGTGGCCCAGAGCCCGGTCAAGAGATAAGGCTATGGGTTCAAAAATTATTGGCTAACTTTTGTGACCTTGGATACGTATGTTACCTCTGTTTGTCTTTCCATATGTAGATTGGTATAGTAATACCTGAACTATGTTTTAAGTACAGATAAAAATTTTCTTGTTTGAAAAAATCCCTAGGGAAATAACTGGGGGCAAACAGATATTTCAAATGTCTTCACAATCCTAGAATTTATCAGATGAAAGACCTGTCAACTCCAAATACAATAATTAATGTTATCCTCACACAGAGAGTCCCTAATGTTTCTGCTTTTTGTGCAGTGACATTAATCTTAAACCCACATGGAATGAAAGTTATTTTAATTAAGCATATGACTTGGCACTTTCTAACCTTAAATTTGAAGAAGATGCATTTTATAGTGGTCAATGGATTAAGCACTCCTGGGACTTTTATAGATATGATTAGAAAAGGTAACTATGCAATTATTCTAGATGTAGAACTGAAAAACCTGCAGTAGCCAGCCAAAATCTTCAGCCTTTGAAAGGCTTTTTTTCTAGAAATGAGAATTTGGAAAGTTGCTGAGCCAAGAAGAATCATTTATAATATTGAAGTGGAAGTATATACTTAATCATTCCTTCACCAAATATTTATTGTGCATCTATTCTGCATTTTTTCTCAGCACTGGAGATACAACAGCGACACAATCATTGTTCTTATAGATCTCACATTCCAGGGGAGTAGACAGAACAAATAGGTGTGTTCCTGGTTAGGGAAGACCAGTATTTCAAATAAAATATCCCACTAAGTTTAAAAATGTGGACACACAAAAAACACCTACTGAAAAATATCAATGTGCTAACAAGAGTATAAAGAAGTATGGGGCCAGATGGAGGAGAATGGGCTCTGGGCATTTAAGTTTAGTCCCCTCAACCATTCCTCACTAGATGGGTGGACATTTATCAACTGGATGGAGGCTGAGAGTGGAGCTTTCAGCAGCCTCACAGGTTATATCTAGTATATCACTATATACTTTGAAATAAAGAGATACATGTGCAAATAACTCATGGATCAACAAAAAGAAAAACATAATAGGAATTAGAAAATATTTTTCATTGAATGATAATGAAAATACTATGTGTCAAAAAGTATGGCTATTGTATATAACACTGTAATGAACTCTGGTGTATATATTCTTTCGGATTAGTGTTTTCAGTTTCTTCAGAT